TACATAATGGAGACCAAGGTTATGTGATAGAGACCCATTACATAACCGAGAATTTCCACACACCTATGTTCGGACACTCCTTCTCCAGGATCTCCACGTCGTCGAGCGCAAACACGCCCTTGTTGTCCCTCTTCCTCTGCACGGCTCTCCATATCACGCTGAAGTGGCTCCGGCCGGAAGGGATGGCGATGTTGGCCCTCATCCACGTGTACATGTGGTTCGCTAAGAAACACAAGAACGGGATGCTTAGTGTTTGGTGTATTTTCATTGACACTCTTTATTTATCTATTTCAATTTTCCGCATCATATTCGTGTTCATCTGGCCATTTTCATTAATGGATCGTTCACCGCACAAGCCATTCATTGTACATTCATGAGTCATAAGAATTAAAGTGCTTATTCAATAGATATCAAAATCTTATACACATTATTCGCCTTTTTTAATTACCGTCGACCTTTTTCAATTATTCATCACTTACCAATATAAAACTTGCGGCATAAGATAACTGACAAAAACACATATTCCGTTTCAAAACATAATCCAGTGTACACGAAAACACCAAAAAATATCTTCCTTGGTACTCTCGACCGTGAGGAAGAGTAACCATACATTTAATAATTTCCCACATACCACCGTATTTATCTTTTGAGACCTAAGCATACCCTCTTCCACCGGCTTCAGACCCAGAATTGCACCTCCTTACCATTCTCTCTCCACGCAGCCCGAGGGAAGACGGTAAGTCCGTGTTTTACATAGACTTCGAGCACGTCCCTGTCTGTGTTCCCGTTGTGGATGTACCAGAAGACGAGGCACTGCTTTTCGTGTCTCTCCTGGCTGTATTCGGGACTCACCACGCGCCCCACCACGCCCTCGCGGTCGTCTTCCAAGGGCGCGGCGAGGTAGTGCCCTGTGTTAGATGTAATACAGCCTTTATTTTTGACTGTGTACGTTATTGTTGTTATCACTATAATCATTACTGGTATCATTATTATCATCACCATCGTCATAACCTGTATCATTTTTATTATCATCATTACCATCATATCAAGCAATGTATTACCATATCCTGTGTAATAAGTATGATCCCTGGACGGGTGAGGGAAATCGTTGTCAGGGCTGTTTGGGTACGTCCATATCCACTTGCCATGTTCGTCCTCCAACTTGAACCCACACAGATCCTCTTCGAAATCACATATCACTTAAGAAGAAGAAGGAAAAATATTGATTTTCATAAGAGTCACAAGGATCTAATTATAAGTTTTCTATGTAGGTCTACTAAAAGGTACACCATACTGAAATCAGGATTCACGGGAAAAAGTAGATTTAATTCCAGTGTCATTATTATCCATTTTGTTTTGTACTAACAGGGACGTGAGATTGATGTACATCATTCACACAATTAATAATGGTTACTATAGTCGCTGTAAAAGAAAATGATTTCTACGAGGAAAAATATATTTCACCGTCCTCATAAGAAACCCCATATACCAGACATGATAAATAATAGATAAACTAAATAACTGGAGAGACTCAAAAGAGACAGCCAATTACAACAGAATCCCATTGCCTCGTAATATTATCCAAGAAAGAAAACAGCAATCCACCGAAGGGAACCGAGAGCGAGAGAGGGACACAACACTCACTTCTCGTGTCCGGGGCGTCCGTGGGTCCGACGACGCTGCAGGGGGCCTCGTGGAGGAGCAGCTCGTCGAGGGCGATGATTCCTTCCTCGTTCATGCCTTTCTCTGCTTCGAGGACAATCTGGCGAGAGGCAGGTTAAGTTTTTGTGTATGACTTGATGCATCTGTCTTTGGCAGGCCAAAAGGGTGAGAGGGAGAGGAGAAAGGAGGAAGGGGAGAGAAAAGGAAACGAAGAGAAAGAAGGGTATGTATAGATATATAGAGAGAGGGGTGTGTGTGTGTGTGTGTGTGTGTGTGTGTGTGTGTGTGTGTGTGTGTGTGTGTGTGTGTGTGTGTGTGTGTGTGTGTGTGTGTGTGTGTGTGTGTGTTGTGAGAGAGAGAGAGAGAAGAGAGAGAGAGAGAGAGAGAGAGAGAGAGAGAGAGAGAGAGAGAGAGAGAGAGAGAGAGAGACAGAGAGGAGGAGCGGAGAGAGAGAGAGAGGGAGGGAGGAAAGGGAGGGAGAGTAAGAGAGAGAGTGAGAGAGAGAGGGGAGAGACAGAGAGAGAGAGAAGGGGAGGAGGGAGGGAGAGTAAGAGAGTGAGAGAGAGACGCACCGGGATAGTTAGAAAAAGAAAAGAAAATGAAAATGAAAAAAGAAAGAGAAGAAAACTTAAAGGAAAGAAACAAGAAAAAAATACTCACAGAGAAAGGCGAGTCCGAAGCAATATCAACGTGCCCTTCAATCCACATATCTCCTTGGGGTCTTCCTTGGGTCCACACGGGTGCCCCCAAATCCACACCGTGTCTAGGAAAACAACAAACCATACAATACTACAACTGCGAACTTAAAACCCAAGTCATCTCCTCACCAATTCCATTAAAAATCCAGCTGCAAAATCGTTAAATCGTCATCAACATGTGGCACTATTTGACCATCGAAAAAGCGACAACCGACCTCGGGATGACTGAGAGGTCGCCTACGTTGGCCCCGTTCATGAAGTAGTAGAAGGTGAAGCAGCGTAAGGGCGTCGATGAATTCTGAATGGTTGGCGTCTCTATGGCTGCGCGATTCAGGGCCTGTGTATCCATAGACAGTGTCACGTACCAGTTATCTGGAATAAATATATAAAAGGTAAATAGATTGATATAAAGTGAGTGTATGTAAAGGTAGAGAGATGGATAAATGTATATTGAGAGAGATCGACTGTTAGACAAATAGATAAAATGTATAGATAAATAGACAAATAGATAAAATGGATAGATAGATAGACAAATAGATAAAATGGATTAGATATACTGGATTGTAGATGGCTTGATAGACAGATAGAGAGAGAGACAGTCAAATAGACTGAAATAGAAACAGAAACAGAGACAGAGATAGGGGCAGAGTCGGAGATAGACAGAAACGTAGACAGAGGTAAAAATAGAGACAGAGATGAAGACGGAGACATCAACAGAAACTAAAACAGATAGATCGACAGAAAAGAAATTTCTTTGACAGGTACTGAAGAAGTTAATACAGATTCAACCATTTTCAACTTCAATAAACCATGATTTGTATAATCACCATTATGACGAGAAAGATAAAGACGAGAAAACTGAATTATATCAATACTGTTGTTATCATCACTGTATTATACTTATATTTATTATGATAGTCGAAATCACATTGATTATTACCCTAATCCCCTTAAATTGCAACATCAA